CCCCAAAACCCCAAAACCCCAAAACCCCAAAACCCCTATAAGTGATGAGCTGGTAGAAATGTAATTTAAATTATGTTGGATATAGTACTCCCTATACTAAAGTGGACAGGTCTTGTCCTGTTAAGTTACTTCATTTACATGAGCTATAAGCTGTTACTATACCCGTACATGTGCTGGAGAAAGTTCAAAAACTACTCCAACGTCTACGTAACTCCTAAATTCGTTCCTCTCCTTGGAGACCTCAAAATGATCACCGAAGACATTCAAAATGGCAAAACCTACTACGCTCACCGAGTTCGAGAAGCCCCCTTCATGAAGGGCAAAGACCTGAAGCTAAAATTCGAAGGCTACACTCCACTGATCCTGGTCGAGTCCAACCAAGCTCTTGAGGAACTCTGTAAGCTAGTCCCTTCCAAGATTGACAGGACGAATACTAATAAGGGACTAGGGAGGATCGGAAGAGGCACTTTGCTGTTTGAGAGGAGTACCAAGAGGACTATCGTCAGGAGGAAGTTGATGACGAGTTTTCTGAGCTTAAATAGCTCATCCAGACATATACCAGCGATGGTGAGGCATGCTATTGATGTTTTGCATTTGATGAAAGATGGACATAGCTACGACTTTATTGAGCATTCTAATCTTCTTACTTTTAATGTCTTCACCAGTATTTTATTTGGAGATGATATGATAAAACTTGCCAACAAGCTGCGCCCCTATAAGCTTCCAGACGGTACTACTGAATTCATTCCCATGAGGGACCTCATGATCAAGCTTTTTAAGGCATACTTTGCTCAGAACTTCCATCCACTGACTTCCACGTGTCATTTCCTTTCTGATTTCAATCTAGACTGGTGTTATAACTTAATAAACCCTTTCAAAAGAGATTATGAGAACTACTTAGTTTACATGCAGGCAAGCAGAGAGCTATATGATAACTGTAAGGATGAGGAATCTATATGCAAACAGATCCTCAAAAACGACCAAGTCAGGGATGAAGATAAACTTCATGACCTCAACGCCTTCATCTTCGCAGGAGCTGAGACTTCTTCACATGCGATCGTTTCAACTTTGTTCTTCTTGAAGAAAAGCCCAAAGGCTTTTGAGAAATTGAAGGCTGAACTTTGCCAAGCTGGCATTACCAAGGAGTATCTTGAGAAGGAGGAGTTAACCAAGGAAAAGCTAGAGGAGCTTGATTACCTTGCATGTGTTATCAAGGAGACTTTGAGGATGGACAACCCAGCAGCAGAGTCTTTCTATTATGCTGCATATGAGGATGTAGAGATTTGTGGAGTTCCAATTCCCAAAGGTTTTCCGATAAAAATCGATTATACTCCTTCTCATTATAACGACGATTATTGGAAAGACCCTCATAGCTTCATTCCTGAAAGATTTGATTCTGAATCAGAGTTTTATAAGCAAGCCCATAGTGAAGGAAAGGCAGGAGTAGGCTTCTCCAGAAGAGGATTCTCTCATGGACTTAGAGCATGCGCAGGCCAGACATTTGCCATCTTGGAGATCAAAGTTGCAGTTGTAGTTATCCTCACTTTTCTACAAAACTATGAGGTCCCAGATGAATTACTTAAAAAGAGTGAGGTTGGATTTGCTATTGGAAGTACTATCCCTGCGATGTTTAAGGTTTTGAGATCCTAATATATCTTTCATTTCTACATCAATCCTCTTTCTTGGTTACGGGGTTTTGGGGTTTTGGGGTTTTGGGG